GGTTTCAGTATGCTGTTTAGACTGGTCTTGAACTCCGTTTGTAGCACAGGCTGGCCTCAAACTTACAACGATTCTCCTGCCTCAGCCTCCCAAGTGCTAGGATTACAGTGGGATTACAGGCATGCGCCACCCACAGCTGGCCTTCACATTTACAGTTGCTTAGGCCAAAAACAATGGAGTCATCTTTGGTTGATCTCTTCCTCTCATGTCTCATATCCTAACAGCAGCAGGTTTAGTAACATTTCCCCCGTTCCCTTTCTCCCTTCCTTTTTTTTCTTTATTGTGGTAATAAAGACTAAACCCAAGGCTTTTGTACTAAATTACTCAAGCCTAGCTTGTTTTTTCCTTCATTCTTCCTTTTTATTTTTTTCTCCTCATCTTTGCTTTGCATCTTGGAAACAAAACCAAAGTTTGATTTCTCCACCCCTGTCGTCCCCACCCCGCTACTGTCATTTCTCCCATGGGTTATCGTGTTTGCCTCCTCTCACTGATATCCCTGCTTCTGGCTTTAATCACCATGTTTGCCCATATCCTTCTAGAAGCTGGTGTCAAAACAGGCTCAAATCTTCACATAATTTCCTGTGTACAACTCTGACAGCAAACGAGAAGGGAATCAGGAGAGACTGGCACAGCTGTCAGACTGATGCAAGTCCCGTGTCAAATGGAGAGAAGGCAGGGTAGGCACAATGGCTGCAGGCTTTCGTGTGCTTATGAAAAGTTGAGCAAGGCTGCTAGAAGTTCCTGAGCCAAAGCCACCAGCCAGGGGAGCTCTGTGATTCCTGCGGTGGGCGTGCCTTTGTTTCCCTCCTGGACTCTGTCACTGACTTGAGAACAGACCCTGAAAAACATGGCCTCAAAGGCTTCCAAATAGGCCTGCAGTGAGTTCCGCCTTGTGCACTCAGCCATTCAGAGTGCTGGCCAGTGTCTGCAGTCTCCATTGCTTCTGTCTGTTCTCCTGTAGTAGTCAGCTCTGTCTTGCTCAAATGTAGCCAGATCCTTTCATTCTGCTGCTGGAACCCCCAGATTCTTCCTATTTGGTTCAGAATTAAACCAGATCCCATCAGTGTGTTCCCCGCTACAGTACTTGGAAGAGCTGAACCCAACAGACCTTCAGCCCCTGAGCTGGAGCACTGGAGGCAGCTATGGAGTAGTCTGCTCTGACCCCATGAGGAATAGCTGGAAGGTGAGCAGCTGCTGGCTTCTTAGACATTCAACTCGCCATCTTTGGACCCGATCCAAACTGTTCTTGGATATTGTTGGGCCACTTTCCCAGGATGCTGGGCCACAAAGTGCAGAAGAGTGTGTCACCACACAGTACATTTACCTTTCCAAGAAAGGACAGAAGGATGTATGTTTGGAAGAGAATATCCAAAGATTCAGTTGCAGGGCCGGGGACATAGCTCAGTGGTACAAGTGCCTTCCTGGCAAGCACAAGGTCCTGCGTTTGATTCCCAGTACAAAAAAAAAAAAAAAAAAAAAAACAAAAACAAAAAACAAAGATTCAGTTACAGTTTGGGAGTTAATTTTTTCTAGTACCAGGCTTTGAATTGAGGGCCTCGTGCATGCTGGGTAGGAGCTCTATCACAGAGCTCTACCATCAACCTTTTTAAAATTTTATTTTACAACAAGATCTCACTGTTTTCCACGTAGGCCTCCGACTTGGAATCCTCCTGCCTCAGGATCCTGAGGAGCTAGGATTAAGGGAAATGTTATTATGTTCAGCCTCAATCAGGGATAAAGTATTTTTTGGTTTTTGCAATATTACAAATGGAATATAGGAGCGCTGTACCACTGAGCTACACCCACATACCTTTTAAAATGTTACAGTTTTTATTTTAAGAGGTTTTGCTGTATTTCCCTGGCTGAGCTCAGCCTCAAGATCCTCCTGCCTCAGCTTCCCAGTGCTGGGATTACACATATGCACCACCACACCCAGCTCAACCAGCATCACTTAAGACTGATGTTAGTTTGGAATTTTTCTTCTAGTCTCTTAGCCATCGCTCCTAAAGGCAGTAGATGATTCTGTGTGGAATTTTTGATCAAAAAAGTAAAAGGAGCAAAGCATGTATGGAGAATTGGTTCATTCTCTGGCTGAGGCAGGGAAAGATAAGAAAATGTTTGAAACATTTTCCTCTATCAGAAAGTAAGAAAGTGTTAAAAAATTGAGGGGACACAGGCTCCAGCTTCAATGGGGCTCGCATTGGCCCAGTTTTAGTCAACTTGAGCACCAAAATAAGTAACAACAGTGATGGATTCTAATTCACTGATTCACCAGAAAATAATGTCTAAGCCTGGTGGGGTGGTGGACTCACACCTGTAAGTCCAGCACTAGGAGGCTGAGGCATGAGGATTGAACTACCTAGCCCAGCCTGGGCACTTTAGTGAATTAGCTAAAAAGTTGAAAGGGGCCTATATCAAAGTGAAATTTGAAAAAATCTATGAATCCATTCTATTACCAAAAAGAAAAAAGAGAAATCACCTTTTTTTTTTTTTTTTTAATCTTTTTGAGACAAGGTCTCGCTATGCAGTTCTGGCTGGCCTTGAGCTTACTTTGTAGCCCAGGCTGGCCTTGAACTCACAAAGATTCTCCTGCCTCAGCCTCCCAAGTGCTGGGATTACAAACATGCGCCACCACGCCCTGCTAAAATCACCTTTTATAACACCTACCTTAATAATGGATTCATATAACAATCATCAATATATATTAAAATGATTACGTGGAAGCCTATTGGGAAGCCAGAGAATCAGACTGTCTCAAAGCACCACTTCACACAATAAGAATACTACTTATTCTTCCTCTTCTTTTTCTTTTTTCTTCATCCTCTTCTTTATTGTCATTGCTATTGTTACTACTACTACTGCTGTTACTACTACTCTGATACTGGAGATAGAACTTAGGTTAGGGCCTTTGAGCTACATCCCCAACTCTTTCTGATTTATTTATTTGAGACAGGGTCTCATTAAATCACTAAATGGCTGAGGTTGGACTTGAAATCAAAATCCTCCTGCCCCACCTTCCATCTAGTTAAAACTTCATCTTGTTACTTTTCTCCTTGCTGAGACAAAATAACACCTGAGGTTAAAGGAGGAAAGTTTTATTTTGGCCACACTTTGTAGAGGTTTTATTCTGTAATTGGCTGGCTCCACAGCAGGGTGGCATGGCAGAGGGCGACCACAGAGGAGAAACAGTTCATGGCAGGCAGAAGGCAGCAAAGCAACAAAGCAGTGAAGAAGTAGCAAGCAACAGTAAGAGAGGAAAAAAAAAAAACAGAGAGGGAAGTACTCTGCTTTCTGTCCCTTATATTCTGTGCAGGTTA